TCACACAAGGAGGCCAGGGGGGGGTTAAGGGAGGAAATTCAAAAGTTAAAATTTTTATTTATATTTTTTAAGACAAGAAAGAAAACCCAGGAAACGAGGTCATGGTTGTTACTTCCAGTGTAGGGGGAAACAGGGGGAGGGGAAAAGGTTGGAGTGTAGAGGAAATAAACAATTGACATTATTTTTTCAACGTTATATAATCAAACTAGACTATCGGTGCATTTTGCGCCCATCTTCAACTTATAATTGTTCCTCAATTTGTTAGTATTTTCTGATCGATAAAACAACAAAGGAATTGAGTCTTTGCCACTAACTCTGATTTTCTACTATATCTCCTTCACCCAATGTCGTAAACCTTAGATATTGCAAACTATGATTTCTGTTGAATCAAATAGTCTAAGTTTGAAATATCAAAAGTTTACACAATCAGGTTGCAAAGATATAGAGATTAGAAACTTTGAGTTTGTGACGAAGAATCAATTCCTTTTGCGGATTAACAATTTTTTTTCGTAAAATTTTAAAATTTTATAAAAATCAAAAAATTTTAGAGACAAAAAATTTGGGCCGGATAGGTGTGGACGTTTATTGAATAAACAAACAAACAAGCAAAGTATATATGTATATATATTTAAAAAGACAGACAAGCAAAGTAAATATTTATATATATTTAAAAAAACATACAAGCAAAGTATATATATTTAAAATAATTTTGTAAATCATGAAGGTTAAAGGAATTAGAAAAACTATGGCTTTAGAATATGTTTCTAAATATTTGAATTAAATTTTCTAAAAAAGGCATCTGGACAATCTTTTTACAATCTATTAATATAAAAGGGTTCCAGATAAATCAATTTTCAATTGAAATCTTGATTTTCCGCTTCACGCACATTTAAACTGTCTAGAATGCAATAATGTGCATTGTGCAATGTGCAACCCGAAAATAAGCCTTAACTTCACAAATGTGCATTGTGATGTGTGCATTGTACGATTGTATTAAAATATATGTTCCAATTGCAAATGCGAATAAAAAATTAAGGCAATTAACTCAAATGGGCAAACATTATTTAAATATGTATGTTAGAATTCAAATCAAGCAATATAACATTTTCACTAACTTATTCTCTTTTCAACCATTTATCTATTTAACTATTTTTGTTATTTTTTTTATTTTCATAATTACGGCTATTTTTATTTTTCCTTTCCCCTTTAAACTTTCAACTTCTCGTTCTCCCCCATCCCCTCTTTCCTTTCTCTTCTTTACCATTCCTCCTTTTTGGCTTTAACCCCCC